AGGGAATTTGGGTGCAGGAGGAGATGGAAAAGCAGCTGCTGGCTCAGGGAGGGGGCTCCAGGCTAGAGAGTGTTGGAGTCAGGTGGAGGGTTGGGGTGCTGAGCAAGCCACAGGCTTGTTGTTTCGGTTGGGGTTCAGGTGCATAATAGGCTCAGGATTGGGATGTGTGGGAGGTGCAGGAGTGTTGTGATGCTGTGTCCAGATGGGGGCGTGGCCCCAACTGGGGGCTTGCTGGTCAGGTTTCATTTTTAAATAAAATATTATGTCCAATACAAAATGTTGCAACATTGTCTTTCTTTATGAGAGGGGCAGGGAACCTGTTTTGGGTCAGGGGCCACTGACCCACAGAAAAAGCAGTCAGGGACCACAAAAGTGAGATGCAAAAAACCAACCCCTCCAAAAAAAATCCCCAAGCCTCACTGATGTGGCCCCAATGGAGACACCTTCCTCCCCTGCCACTCCAGCCCTATGGTGGGGGAGTAGCTAGGACTGAGGTTCAAGGCCTCAGGCCAGATTAACTCTTCTGGGTTCCAGGATTAGTGGATTTTGTGGGCCCCTCTACACTCTGAAGTGGGGCCAAAAATGAGGGATCTGATGTGTGGGACAGGGCTGACAGTGAATGGGATAGGGATGGAGGTACAGAATCTGGGTGGAAAATAGGGTACAGGAGAAAGCTGGGGATAGGTGTCTAGCCAGGAGGGAGGGGGCAGGAGCATGGTGTTGATGCATGTTTGGCTATGGTGGCTGGGTGCTGATGGGGATCTAGCCAGGGACCAGGGTGCTCGTGGGGGTTTGGGCAGGGTGCTGGCGGGGGTCTGACCGGAGGGGCCGGGGTAGAGAGAGGGGGCAGGGACAGTCTCTAGGGATGAGGATCTCTGGGTAGCGCTGGAAGATGCCGCTCTGGATTCTGCTCTGACATCTTCACCACCACCACCACCCTACCAAAGCCCGGGGAAGAAAGGGAAGACAAGAAAGCCCATCTGCTGTTGTGGGCGGGGGAGAGGCACGCATTTTCTTGTCTTCCCTTTTTTCCCCCATGCTGCCTGCCTGTGCTGTGGAGGGAGGAGAAGTCCCACGGCTGAGTGTCAGAGCCAGCATCTCAGGAAGTGCATCCGCTGCTGTGGGGAAGGGAGGAGCAGCACCCACTTCCTGAGACATCAGATCTGGCACACAGCCGCAGGACTTCCCCCACCTCCATTTTGGAGTGCTGATGCGGGCTCCTATTGGGGGTGGAGGGGAAGCAAGAGGAAGCTGGGAACACCTCGCAATCAAGTGGTCGTGCCCCCACAATCAACCAGTCGATTGCAATCAACTGGCTGGTGACCACAGCCATAAGTCATGGTCTGGAAACAAGTTATTCAAACACTGCCCAGAGTAGTGACAGCATGATCTAGTGAGCAGAACTTTGGATTAGGACTTGGGAGAGAGGATGTACTCTCCAGCTCTGCTACTGACCTTCTTTATGACCCTGGGAAAGTCGCTTTGTCTCTGGGACACCATTTCCCTTTCTGCTCCATGCAATGAAACAACATGGCTCTTAATCACTGAATCTGACAGCTCCACATTCAGTTCAAACACCACTGGATTTTAGCTAATATTCTAATTTTAATGACAAAAGTAAGAGCAATTGAACAAAGACACATATTCGATAATAACTGCACACAATGAATAGCTCTATTATACACACTAAAACATACATTCTGGAACATACGGTCGATTTTTCTGTAGAAAAAAATAATTTAAAAAGGCCATACATTCTGGAACATACGGTCGATTTTTTTGTAGAAAAAAATTTCAAAAGGCCTCTCTACACTGTGATTTTTACCTATTTCTACACCAAAAGCTTGCTTTCTCACAAAGACATTTCAATGATGCACCAATTACCTGTTCTTAACTGTAATAGCAGTCGCACTACTTCTTTTGGTATAATAGTCATCTGTACATGTAGCTTCTTAGATCATTTTCATCAATCTCCATACCAAATGGTAAAATTTGGATGTGTACCTATGAAAAAAAATGTCTCTTAAAAGGCAGTATAAAGTTCAGTGTATTTTAGAGAGTGTTTTTCTGTCTGTGAGTCTGTTTGTTCAAGAACTCCTCCTACACTGTAAAAACTAGGACTACCAAGTTTGGTATGTAGTGTCTTCTTATCTTAACGTAAAGCAAGATCAAAGTTTGGTTGTGCCAGGAAAACAGGAAGTGCCTGGACCAGGATTGTTTTCCATAACATGGAAAGGAAGAAAACTGATTGGAGGTTAAGCTATACTGCAGGGTGAGCACTAGGGGGCAGCCACACCATCAGGAGAGTCTCCAGCTGGGGCCGGGCCCCTCCATGTTGCTAGCCACTAGACAAGGCAAGTGGCTCCTTTGCCCCAAATAGGGCTGTGAAAATGTATGCAATTGAGTAACCTTATAACCGCTGAAAATTTCAGTGGCAACCTCCTGGGAGCCACCAGCTTTTAACGTGGCTTCTGGAATGCACCAGCTCTCTGCTGCAGCATCGCAGGGATAGCAGCTGGCTCCCCAGGAGCAGGGCAGGAGCCTGTGCGTAACCATGAACAATTACTGATAAGCCCAAGCTTATCGGTTAACCATTTATATGGTTAAACTTTCACATTCTTAGCCCCAAACAGTGCCTGATCAGAGAGGGGGGAGTCTGCCCTCCCACTGGCCTTGCCGTTGCAGCCCCCTGGGACCAGGACCAGCCCCCACCCAGTAGACCCTCTTGCAAAGGGAGGCTAGGGCCCGGAACTGCAGCCTGGCCCCTCCCCACCCCGGAGGGGACCCCTCCCAAGGAGGCAGTGGGGCCGGGAATCATGGCCAAGCCTTGGACCAGCTGCAGGCCAGGCCCCCTCTAGACCAGCTGCAAGGCCGGAGAGGCAACAGGAGGCTGGGGCCAGCCCACAGGGCCCTGCTCACCACAGACAAGCCAGGCCCCCTCAGCCCTGACCCCTGGGAAGAGCCACCACCACAGCAGCACTACCTTAGCTGCCCTGGGCAGCTGCCAGTAAGCTCCCTCCCCTTCCAACCCCTTCCTCCGAATCCTGCATCTCCCTCCCACTACTTACACTTCTGCACCCCCGCTCCCTGCGGAGCCCCCCCACACACACACACACAGAGAATCCTGTGCCCCCAGTCCTCTCAGCCTCCTTCCCTCACTCCTACACCTGTCCCTTCCCTGAGCACCCTTACATCCAAACTCTTGGCCTTACCCCATTCCCACCTCGCTCCCCACCAAACTCCCCTCCCTTAGTCCTCCACCCCCTTCATCACCCACCCCTACCCTGAGTCCTCCACCCACTGTCCTAATTCAATGCACCCTCTTTCCTGAGCCTCCATACACACTCAACCCCCTGCGCTGAGCCCCCCCTCTCCCTTCCCTGACTCCAGCACCCCCCACTCCCTGCCACAAGCCCTCCACATACTTCCCACCCGCCTGTTCCCGAGCAACGCCGGGTACATCTACTAGAATATAAAAATTATGAACCTGTCCTGCCTTCAGGACTTCCATTTTTCATGGCAAGTGCTTCTTTGTATTACTTTGTATTTATTCCTACTGTACCTGAATTATCACTATTTGATCACCAAGTGTGCTCAGCACTGTACAAACAGGACATGTGCCCATGGAGGCACTTACTGTCCAATACAGAAAAGCAAACACTAAATACATGTAATCGCCTAATTGACTGTATTTAGTGAAATTTTAAAAAGAATGAAGCGTGCCTGGCACAACCAGCAGGCATTTCCTTGGATCTCACAGTCCTATCTCCGCTCCCTCCCCCAAAAGCAAATTTGTGCACTAACGACAGCTATTTCAGTGAGATTTAAATGCCAAAAAAAATGCACTGTATAAGAAAAAAATAATGGGCAGCATTTGATATAAAATGTAAAGATAATTTCTGTCCATTTATCTTGAAGATTATTAAAAGCCTTAATGTGACTTCCGTAACATCACTGATTAGGTACAAAAATGAAAGAGCGCTTCATTAATGAATCCATTTATTCCATTAATATTACACAGTTCTGATATACTATGATTTTTCAGTTAAAAATGAATATTAAGTAGTGGAACTGATTACACTGAAGTAATGGGAGCACTGACTGATGATGCAAATCAATATTATGAATTTTTCCGCCTTAATTTCACATTCTTGTAAACAACATATTTTGTGCTATCTCTGAGATTTAATTAGCAAATGAGATATTTATAATATTAAGGACTAATTCATCTGCATACATATGTCACAAAGAAAAGAGTCTGGCAATTCAACTATGTGTACAGCAATAGGAATAATATTTAGTGTGCATCTGACCGGCTCAGAAGGCTAATTCCCAACAGTTTGGGGCTTTCATGTTTAACTTATACAAGGACAAATCTTGAACACTTTCATCACAACGCACGATTTCATTGGGAGCAAGACAAGAAGCATCCAACCTGTTATGGGTAAAATACAAAAGCAAACACTAGAAAACAGTTTCAAATCTGGGAAGCGTCCTGCCCCTTTAGTCAACAGGACTGGGCTCTGCTGCATATCAGAGATTTCTGTGTAATCCAGTTGAAACATGTTAGCAACTGCAAATTTCTTAGAGTATGCAACTCATTACCAGTTACGTAAATAAAGATGACTTTATATACGATTCTTGCTAAAAACATTAAGCAAGGATTTAATTAAAAATCTAATATTTTCATAAACTAAAAATAAATCCAATTTACAAATCCATTAAGTTAGGCAGAAGAAAAGGGTAGAAAAGAGCCAATATTCACAACATATTTCTCGCAGGAATACCAAAAAATGTATGTTTCCATTGAATTCAACAGGAAACATCATGCAAGTTTCCAGGTTTGTGAGATGATCTCATGTGTGAAAATGGATTCATCTGTATTACAGCACCCAAATATCTCAACTACATTCAGGCCTTCTTTTTACAAGGTGCACATATACATTTTAAGAAGTTGTAAGCTCTTTAGTATATGGACTTTCTAAATAAAAAAGGCACACAAACAATTAAAAAAATACATTTTATTTGATAGTATCCTTACATTCACCCTTAAAATGCAACAACTGCTTCAACTTTATGCCTCTCAGTGTAATCTGACATCAACACACAGAAGAAAGAGGCAAACTAACCCTCCTCCAGACTCAGTCTCAAGTCTTTCCAGTACATCTGCAAAAGAATTTGAGCCTCTCTAAAGTCAGTGAACTAAAGACAGGTTTTATGAGTGTCTGAAGCACTAGGGATCCACAACATGGGGACTCAAAATAAGTTGCAGTTGTTAGGGGAAAAATCGTGACAAACAACAACGGGTTGAAATTTTAATCAACATCTTTTGAAACAAAAATTGATAATTTACCTTAGGAAAGCTAAAAACAACATTCACGTTAAAAGCTGCAACAATTTCTAAGCTGTACACTTTCTATCTCTCAGTCTTTCACAGCCCAAACTACATGTTAGAAAACCATAGTCACAATTTTAACTTAAAAAGGAATGTATTCCAACCCTATAACGGTGCAACAGTTTATTGAACCATATTAATATTTTCCAAAAGGCAACTGGCTGATTAATATTAATCTATTCTTCTCTAAGTTAGTCCCATTTATGCATCACAGTATTTTTCCCCACATCAAAACCTATGAAGATGAGCGGGTTTTTTTAAAAAGACTGAACAAAGAATTAAAGAATTACAAATCAAATGTTCTTTGATGGAGGCAGGGACCAGATGACCTTTTATTTGTCCTTTTTTGAAAAAAAAATCTGAAATACTGTAATAAAAACACACAAGAATGACTGATCAAAGCTAATTCACAAAAGTAGAGACCCTCTGATTTGACCAGCAGTAGGGGTTAAACCTGCAATAATTATTTATAGTCAGCACCTGAACTGCTTAACTGGGAGGCAATCATGTTCAGACCCTTCCAAAGCCTTTTCACTAGGAAATCAAAGTAATGATTCATTTTAAGAAAATAAAACTCAGAATTCAGCTACAAACCATATACCACTTAAAGGCAAAATTGTTAGAAATGGCATATAATCTCTCCTCAAAAATGTTAAGATTTCTCACCCTCACATAGGTCAATGGGAAAATCCATTCAATGTGCAATAATCAAAAAAGCAACCAGAATGTTAGGAATATTTAAAAAAGGGATATAGAATAAGACACAGAATATCTTATTGCCTCTCTATAAATTCATAGTGGCTACGTCTAAACTTAAGAGGGATGTAAACTAGGCAGATCGAAAATGCAAATGAAGCAGGGATTTAAATATCCCATGCTTCATTTGCGGACAGCAGTTTCACTTTCGAAATACCTTTTTTCGAAAGAATGCTGTGACACGATTATGCAAATGAAGCGCAGGATATTTAAATCTCCACTTCTTTTGCACTTTCCATCTGCCTAATTTACATCCCGCTTTCAAAAGAGGGATGTAGTTTAGACATGCCCAGATCCTGAATACTGTGTGCAGATGTGGTCATCTCATCTTAAAGAAAAAAAGGTATCTTAGCAATGGAAAAAGTTTTTGAAAGGGTAACAAAAATTATTAGGGGTATGGAATAGCTGCCATACGAGGAGTAATTAGTAAGACTGGGACTTTTCAGCTTGGAAAACAAACAACTAACTACGTGTGAATATGGTCTGCAAAATCAAGATTGGTGTGGAGAAGGTAAATAAGGAAAAGTTATTTACTCCTTCCCATAACACCAGTAGTAGGGGTCACCAAATGAAATTGATAGCCAGTTTAAAAAAGAAACAAACAAAAGGAAGTATTTATTTACACAATGTGCAGTCGACCTATGGAATTCCCTGCCAGACGATGTTGTGACTTCCAGGACCATAACAGGCTTCAAAAAAGAGCTAGATAAATTCATGGAAGTTAGGTCCATCAATGGCTATTAGCCAAGATGGGCAGTAATGTTGGTCAGAAGCTGGGAATGGGCAACAGGGGATGGATCACTTGATGATTACTGGTTCTGTTCATTTCCTCTGGTGCACTAGGCATTGATCACTGTCAGAAGACAGGATACTGGGCTAGATGGACCTTTGATCTAACCTATATGGCCGTTCTCATGTACTAAAATGGTTAGTAGCAAAGGTAAAATACCAGATACAAAGAAAAGCTTTCATGACAGTGAAAAAGGCAGGCTAGAGTAGGGTAAAAATCTTCTTCATACTTTTAAAACATCTTTTTTCAGAGACACTCAAAAACACTTTACATAAACATGAATTTTTCAAACTTCACAGTACTGTGTGAGGTAGTTATACTTTATAGAGTAAGATGCCGAAAACACAACAAAGTCTCAAAACATACAACAATAAAGAGAGACAGTGCCTGGAACAGAATCCTAAAGTCTGACTCCTGTCTTGTCCTTTTAGATGATGAAGTAATACCCCCAGATAATAAAACTATACAAGTAGATAACAAAATGGAAAAAGATCTAGACCTGCTGCAATCCAAGGCCATGTGCTCCACAATGCAATCATAATCAGCTAGAAGTCAAGAAAAAAAATGGTAAGAGAATAAAGCATGGAAACAAAACAAAAAAAGGCAAACCTATTCAAAGGGACTCAAGACATTTCAATGAAGATGCTGGGTTCATTTTTATCAGAAATTTGAGCAGCACAGAACCAGGTTTCTACTGCCCTCCACCTAAGAATTTAAAATATCAACATCATAAGGGAAGACGTTGCATACCCAAGTTTCTTCAAGAACACATTTTTAGGTCTGTTAAGGTCTCTCTCTCAAATCCATGACATTTTGCTGAAGTAGCAGTGATGTAAATATAGTCTGCTGTGTAGAGGTACCCAAAGTTAGGCAATACTCTTATGAAGGAAAGGGAGCTGATAAGAATGATAACGAGAATTACCTAGCTCCGGGTTGTTATAATTTGTGTACTAGGCTGGAATATGAATTTAAATGATTTGAAAATGGAAATAATATCTGGTTGCCAAATATTTCCATTTAAGCTCCACAGTGTCATAAATATTCAATAGGAATCTTTTAAAAAAAAGAAACCTTACAAAATATCATTATAACTTATCCTATATATATTTTATATATAAAATATACCTGTGTAGCAAACATACACATACATAAGAATTATTGTGTACATGGTCATTTAGGTTTCTTTCTTGGTATACCGCGACAGGAACTGAGTTCTAACAAAGTTAACCAGCTTGGTCTCTGCGAAGAATATAGTGATGAGTGTTGCAGCGAAGCAGAGAGCTCCCACAGTGATGTGGATCAGCCTTGCCAGCCAGCCTTTATCACAGCACAAGAATGCCTACAAAGAAAACAAAGTAAGCAAGCAGTTGTAGAAAGATTACTGGTAGAGAGGTGAATACTCTACATTATTTATAAGTATGATTTGGTATGTCTCTTGACCACAATAGCAGCACTACTGGCAGCCAGTCCTCATGCAAGGCAATCAGATAGATTCATCTAGTGTAACTTAAACTTGCAAAAAATGGCTCATAATGGCCATGTTTATATTTTTATAATACTATTAGCACATTTTCTCAGTGTTGCTTAGGACCTTAAGGCAGGGGACTGGAAGTGGGGGGGAATGCAGGAGTTGGGGGTGGAAGGGGAGGAGGGGCTCTGGGCAGAGGAGACAGACAGAGGGAGAAAGAAAGAAGGGAGGAGGGGATGGAAGTGTTTTGCTCCTCTCTTTCCTGTCAGGGAGAGAGCAAAGTGCATTGCTCATTTGCCCCGAGTTCCCTAGCCAGAGCGAGGAATGCAGCAAACTGTGCACTTTCTCCTCAGTCCCTAATGAAGGGGAAAAGCCAGCAATGTCCCTGAATGAATCTGGGGGACTTCCCATCCCCCCACCGCACTTCCTAAAGGACACCTGGGGGGTGGGAGGCTCAAAGCTGTGCTGTCCTAGACATAGAGAGTGGAGGGCAGAGGGGTTGCACTTCCAGCCAGCCTCTTTCACCTGCCTGGTGATTCTGCCTCTTTTCTGTGTGGTTTTATGAGAAGTAATCCCATTCTGGGCATATCCCGTTTTCCTGGCACAACCAAATCCTGACCTTGCTTTAAGTTATAAGAGGAAGCTTTATATGGAATTTGGTGGTTCTAGTTCTTCCCACATAGGAAGAGTTTTTGAACAAACAGACAGAGCAAAGCCTCTCAAATTTACAGTAGACTTCTATGAATACAGTATACACAACTAAGCATTTGGTAAATATTTGATCACTGTAGAAGTTATATGCCATCATACATCTTCACTGTGCACACATGAAGTTAAATGATATACTTAGGAAAACTATTTTCTTGTTATGCGTTGCGACTAAAGCTGCACATCATTCCTTCATTTCTGCAACCATATATCAACCGATGTTTAAAAGGAGGCCCTACTAGACCACCTTTTCCAATATAAAGCTGTGGTTTCTAGCCTTTCAGAGTCATGACTTAATTCATGTAATTGTTACAATAGAAGATCTGTAGCTAGTCAGGATGGAACCTTGCCCATCTTCTACCCTGGGTAAGTGTGAACAGAGAAGGAATGCCACATACTGTGAAGGGAGGCCCACAGACAGAGAGGGGAACATTTTCGTGTTAAGTTGTTGTTTTTTGGGGGGTGGGTAGCTGTTTGAAGCTGTTGGGAAATTTGAGATATTGAAATAAAATCCAAGAAGACTGATCAGTAGGCAGAGCACAGGAGCTCTGGTAAAAAATGGTATGATTAATTAAACTATCAGACTCCTGCCACATGTCAGTGATAAATATTCTATACACACACACACACACACACACACACACACACACACCCCCGCACTGTGCATGGTAGAACTTATGTACCTTATGTATATACACTTAGAAAAAACTATTTTCACGTCTCATATACATATATGCAATATAATCAGCCTTGCAAAATTGTAATGACAATTTAACAGCATATGCTCATAATCATAATAATAATGTATGCCTGTTAGTGAGATTCTGATGAAATGATCTGATATGAGCTAACTTTTCATAGATCAATAGTGAAATCTGACACACACTCACCTCTGAAAAAACAGTGATTACTGCACTTAAGATATAAACAAAGATTAGAGATGTTGAGAGTAGCAGCCCTTTCAAAGGCCTGTAAGGGCTCTCTTTGAAGTAATTGTAGATATAGCGAATGCTGTGTGCTATTCGAATACTCATATTGAAACAGTTTGCAAGGATAAAGCCTACACTGCCTTGCCACTGAGTCAAGAAATAAGACACACACAAGAATGTGAAGGACAAGGCCAGCATAACAAAACTGAACCTAAAGGGAAAAAAGAGAAACAAATTAAGCAATGTATGCAGGGAAGATATATCAATTTACATCTCTGTCAGAAAGAATCCCACATTTTTCCCCTTAAAATAAGAAACCAAACTGATTAATTTTGAACATTAACAGTAAGGTGCAGTCCAAAATTTCTGCATATGAAAAAGCAAGAGTGGAAACGTTTTGTTGTTCACATTACTAAATAAAAGTTTGGGAGAGAAAGACCAGCTCTTAGCAAAGCAGAAAAAGATTCCGATTTAAAAAAAAAAAAAACACAGAGCCAGATGGTCATTAAAACCTAATATGGAAGTGGATAATTGTAGCCTACTTAATTTCTGAGACTAAACAGTTTTCAAACACAGCTAATACTGGGAAAGGGATAGAGTTTAAATAAAAACACGTTTTGTTAAGCAATATTAATCTATTTTATTTGAACTTAAGTACAGTGGTGATTTACTATGGCACAGTGTATTGTGTGTGTGTGTGTGTGTGTGTGTGTGTGTGTGTGTGTGTGTGTGTGTGTAAGTAAGTAAAAGTGAGCACACAGTCTCCTCGCTTGCTGGACATTTGGTACAACATGAAGTATACCTGCAATCAGTATGCAGAGAGCTAAACATAAATTTAGACAAAAATTCACTTCACTTGATCCAATTTCTATTTATTTTACAGTATCAATAGAAAAATATTTAGATCATACATGATCATCCTGAATTGCAACAAGTTCAGTAGTTCAATAAAGTTATGCCCCTGAAGATAAAATTGATATGAACTAATAAAGAATTCATGAAAATAGAAATTAATTCAACATTACAGACCAAGTCTAAAAGAGTACAGGCAGCCCCCGGGTTACATACAAGATAGGGACTGTAGGTTTGTTCTTAAGTTGAATCTGTATGTAAGTCGGAACTGGCATCCAGATACAGCTGCTGCTGAAACCGACCAGCAGGGCTTCCTGGAATCAGCCGCTGATCAGTTTCAACAGGCTGAATCTGGTCGCCAATTCTTACATACAGATTCAACTTAAGAACCTCAGGCGTCCCCAAGTCAGCTGCTGCTGAAATTGATCAGTGGCTGATTCCAGGAAGCCCGGGGCAGAGCAACTCTGCCTC